CCTGTGGCCTCTGAGCGGTGCTCCGCTTGCGACTTCCGTAGGCAGGCCATTTTCCCTTGGTGGATTTTCAGTCCTCTGTGGTTTTTGCATACCTTGCCACACACGCAAACTGCATTCGTAGTCGATTTTCCATGCGCTGGGGTCAACAACGAGTGAACTGTCCGAATGGGATGCTCATCCTCCCCCCCTCTCGGGCATCCCTGGGGGTATTGCTCATTAGGGTTTGTCGTGGCGTGTTGCGGGATACCCTCCCAGGAGAGATGCAGCTTGGGTTGCCAACCCTTACTGCCCCAGTGCCGTCTTTCCGTGCTGTCAACTGTCTATCCAGCCGTCACCACCCTGTTCGTGGTTGCCAGCCAGACTTTCCTGGCAGTCACTGGCGGAGCCAGATTAGACATTCTAGAATACACAAGTACTGTGCGGACAAGGACACATCCTCAGTGATGCACCTGGAATCATTGGGTGTTTCGGGTCTTTGAGCATCATACACCCTCATCCAGGCGACCCAGCCGGGGTGATCAGTCCCCGACTTGTGTCCAAGTGGCATTTGTCCAACTATCCCCCCGACGGAACCACAGCCACCTTGAGGCTCTTTCTGCGGCCTCAAGAATGTCTCTGATAGCGGATCTAAGCTGCGGCCCTCTTACTCCGAGGAGCTTTAACGATCTAGACAACGACTGACCTGCGAAACCCCGACACCCAACCTCAACCGGTGTACACCGGGCCCTCCAACCCCTCTTCTGACTGTCTATTACTAGTTCAGTGTACTTTGCTCTTTTACGCTCGTGGGCTTCGACTATTCTACTTTCCCACGGAACAGTCAGTTCCAACATGATCACTTGTTTTATATTATAGGCTTATAACCTTTCATCATTATGTCATCGTTGAAGACCACAGATTACTTTGTCAAATTGTTCAGGTACTAAACTTCTATACTTGTACCTGATGTTATGTTTAGGTATGCAGCGTTACTTACAACCTTTCTGCAGACGATGACAACAATAAAAGGCATAACTATTGTTATGCCAATTCATGGTCATCATACATTGTTACATACATTATAGAATACAGTCGGTGTGGTTTACATAGAAACCATTCTGACCCGGAAATGGTACTGAGTAATGCTGTTCCTGATTGGTTGTGTTGCAGGGGCCCAGTGACCTGCCTGTGTGTGAGCTCCAATGGTGACCAGTGTTACAGTGGCAGCACAGACTCCACCATTAGATGTTGGAATATTCCCAGCCCCAACATCGACCCTTATGATGCTTTTGGTAAGAAGCATCTGCATGACACAAACCTCAGCACACATGCAGTTGTAGTTAAAGTAATATCAGGCTACCATACTAGCATACCTTTATGCATTTTTCGAATACAGGAATTAATGTGTACCGTTTTATCACTTTAATTCTTGTGACAACATTTAAGGTGCCTATTTAAAAAAATGAGGCATCTTGTGAACCGAACTGAACTTCACAGAACTGTTAATACTGTTAGATATGTTGTACATTGTATTTGCTACAGTTGTCATGCAATAAAGTTCTCTTTCTGTAAATGATTTTTTCCAATACTCTCACATTTGAGTTAGAGGGGATGTCAATAATAAAATTTACTTGCTGTGGCTTGATGAGTGATGGAAATGGAGGTATTGTGATCTGCAGTGTGTCCTAGGGTGTATATTTGTGCTAAGATTGTTGCACTGCTGTTCTGCAGACCCGACAGTACTTGGCCAGGCCCTGGTGGGACACACCGATGCCATCTGGGGTGTGACCATCCACTCCGTCAAACAGCAACTCCTGTCCTGCTCAGCTGACGGCACTGTGCGGTTATGGAGCCTACAGAACAAATCCCCGCTGCTCAACACATACACTGCCGAGAAAGGTCAGTCTCTGGGGCTGTCATGTTTGTGGATGTCATGTATCCGCACACTAACCATCACTCAGTATTAGTGCTGTGTACCGGTTTACTGGACCGGTTCTGGACTTGTAAAAATGTTTAGGTTCAAGTCTAAAAAAGTCAAGAACGGATTCTGGACTTATTACAAAAAAAATGAAACTTTATGTTGGCAAGCAATAAAAAAACTTGTATGTAAGTATTTTTCCCCATGTGCACCTTGACCAAATAATGTAATTGGATCCATGGTGAGTTCTGATTGGTAAGAGTGTGATGATGTCACCATTAGATGACGGGGCTCCCACGTCAGTGGACTTTGTGCGATGTGAGCTGAGTCAGATGGTGGCGGCCTACAGCTCCTCCGTAGCCGTGCTGTACGATCTGGAGACCGCTCAGCCGGTCGCCAAACTGGACGCCAGGCAAGGCTCAGGTATGGGACTGGATATTTATACATTTGTGTTAGTGTCTGTAGGTACTAGTTGAATGTGGCTTGGGCTTGGTTATTGGCCATGTTGAAATACCTATTACTGGTCACACGGAATGGGAATTAGTGAAAATGCTGTCATGATTTCTTGTGGAGTTTCTCATGATAGTCTTACTGCCTCCTCAGATTCGGGTGTGTCGTCCCAAATCAATAGAGTTGTGGCTCACCCCACCCTGCCCATCACCATCACAGCACACGAGGACAGGCACATCAAGTTCTTTGACAACAATTCAGGTCAGTGGATGGAAAGTGTTGCATACAACAAGCCTTTGAGGCAGTTATATTCACCTGCATGGAAAGAAAACATTGTTTGTATGTTCTTCTTCGTCCTCTGTTCCAAACAAATAGAGTCAGTGACCTGCAGGAGACAGGTCAGATGTGCTCTTTTCATATGTTACTTTCTTTTCATATTGTGAGGCAAGTCCACATGAAGATAAACATTTTATATATGCTTGCAAATGTTATGTTGAAGTTTTGTTTTATCAGGCACTTTTCTGTTGTAACTGCATTTTTCATTTGCCTGAAATCATGACAAGCCCAGTGTGACATGCATGTCTGTTGTCTGGTGCAGGTAAGATGGTGAACACCATGGTAGCACACCTGGATGCTGTCACCAGCCTGGCTGTGGACCCCAACGGCCTGTACCTGCTGTCAGGAAGTAAGTTCTACTGTGTATCCTCCTTTAATTTCATCTACAAATATTGGCTGTGCTATCATATCTTGTTGGTGTACGGTACAGCCATTGTAAGGCATTACACACGTATCTCTAACACACTATGATATTTACTTTGGGGTACAGAAGTATTGTTTCAGGTGGGTTGTTTGCGGGTTTGTGTGTTTGCTTGTGCTTACAGAGTAGGTTGACAGCATGTGGGTGGGGGAAGGTTGACAGACAGACACAGGGAATGGGGTGTCAGACACAGGGAATGGGGTGAACTTGAAGTCCCTGAATCTGGTTGGGAGCCAGCAGGAATGGGGGAATTCAGGAGGCTGAGGATTGCTTGAACAACCCTCCAACACTGCACAGGTTCTGTCCCAACCTCGATTAACTAGTATACAACCTCCTCTGTTATTGAAATTAAGTCACAAAAACCAAGATTCCCCCATAGAAGTCAGAAACCTGTGATTTCTTGTTAAGTCAAGCAGTTTGTCGATTTGTCATCACAACAAAAGAAGTGTGCTACAACCTACCAAACTTATGTGTCCACTCAGGTCATGACTGTTCTATCCGGCTGTGGAACCTGGATAGCAAGACCTGTGTACAGGAGATCACCTCTCATCGGAAGAAGTTTGACGAGTCCATTTTTGACGTGGCGTTCCACCCTTCGAAGCCATACATTGCAAGTGCAGGAGCGGACGCCCTGGCCAAGGTGTTTGTATGATGTATGCAGGTGCACTGTTTGATGGTCTGTTTTTAGCGTCACCTATATGGGTACTTCGTGTCCTGAACTGAGCCACAGCATCCCTACTTCCTGGTCGACAGAGCTCCGAAGTGATGTGTGTTGTGGAGTGGAGAAATGGCACCCTTTTATGAGCTTTTTTATATATTTGGCAAACATTGTACTACTTTCAAGACATACTTTTAGCCCTACATGTGTTAAGGATAGTGTAATTTTAGTTTGCCAGCTTCTGTAAAGATTTGCAGTGTACTGGAAATAATCCAAAAGACATAAGCTGACTGCACCCAACCAAATGTAATTAAAGAAAAAAAGTTACATGTGACATGAAGCATGACTCTGCACCATAGGAAGTGGGGATGATGGTTGGTTTGTGTGCAGATATGTGGTAGCTCTGAAACAAAACAGGGAACAATTCCAATTGTTAATACAGCAAAAAAAATAATGAATAGCTACAAAAAAAATGGTCAATGCCTCATTTGAATTGTTGTGAACGGTTCTTGCGTAGCTCCCGCTTTTTAATGCTGAGATAGATTTTCCATTGATTTTCTGAAGTGTCTTTTCTCTGAGTCTTCGTAAGGACACTAAGATGCAGTTGGCTTTTTGTTTTTTTTGTTTTTCTTTTTTGAGGTAGAAGATTTGTCCAAAATTTGTAAAACTTTGTAAACCAGTGCTAGTCTCTACATGGGTTATAAGGTATAGCATGTGTAACTGTACAGGGAATTCCAGCTTGCAGTGGACCTGGCTTCCAACATTTTGTGGCAGAGAGAATGGAAAAGTACTAAAAATTCCCATCTCGCTTGTCTCTATAATTCCAACAGGACTCCCTAAACGCCAGGCATCTACATGTCCTGACCACTCCCCCCTCCACCCCAGCCCTCTCAACAGTCAAGTTCTGTTCACTGTACAGAACAATTGTTCCTTTGGAACCTACACTTCTTTTGGCCAATGAAAGCAGAATGTGCATTGACATTAGAACCACCCCTCTTTCCAATCATAAGCAGCATTTTAAAAGTGTTGCATGTGTATACAAATGTTTTTGGCAACACCACAGGAGTGGAGGTGTTTTTCAGTCAGCTGTCAAGGGCTAGTCTGCCTGGCGGTTATGGAAGTCCCCAGTTGTTTGCTAAAATGTCAGTGAAGTGGTCAAGGTTCTATTACTTGTAGGTGCATTTCTGTAGGTAGCCATGTGTACTAACAACGGAATGTATTGTCCATAACTGCCAAAGAAATGTTGCTCATTTATGACAAGATACTCAGAAGCAAAAACTGTAGGTATTTTTATATAAAATTTTTGGGAGACTCTGTTGATTAGCAGTGGGCACGAAAGCATTACTGCATGCATGTCTGGTGTGTTACACATTGACCATATGACCTAAAGCATGCCACAAAAGGACCATGAGACTAACATTAAAAGTTGCCGTGACAACTGAAGTGCACACAATCATGTGACAAGATTGACGTTGTCCAAAATGTCTGTAAGGAGGAAGAGGGTCGCAAATAATTATAATTTGACAATATTACGACTATGTAATTTCACTAAAAATGGGCAGTAGTACTTGTAATTTTTTTCACTGTACTTTGTAGAAGTGGATTGATTTGGGATAACTAATGATAGCTATTTATTTCTTAAATTGTATTTCTTGTACTGACTAGTCATTAAAGGCTCTGAAAGTACATCCTATGAAGTCATATGATATCCATATATACGAGTCTTCCTTAAATAGATAACTCTGACAGGTAGCAGCAGGGGCAGCCCTGTTAGCTTTAGTAATGATTATATCATGTCCACCACAGTCATGACAAGGACTGCATGCAACATCAATTTAAAACTTCCGTTTAAACAGCCTATGGCTGTGTAGAGGCCCAACCATAGAGACTTTGACTCTCCCAGTATAACATCAGTAACAGTAAGGGAGTGTCAGATGGAGCGGGCACAAGCTAAACCAGGCAGGGTGCCAGGCTCCTGTTAGAGTGAGTGTACCATGGGTGTATAATATTACTTGTCACAAGCTGCATTCTGGAGAAATAACATTCTGCACCAAACCAGTTTAAAATTGGTGCGGGCAGTCTTGAATGTAACCCGGATATAAAGTAACCTGGAAAATAATTGTACAACTGTGTGTTCCATCATCATTGTGCTAGGTCAGATGACTTTAAATCTTTTTAGAGCTTTCTTAAGGCCACACCAATTTCATTTCTTGGTTTTCTGATTTGCCTGCTAGTTTGTTTTTTTTTCAATATTGAAACAGATTATGATTATTTACCATTCCAATTCTCAGTTTAAGAAAGTCCTTGTCTTCCTAGTTTTATTCCAATTTTTTGTCAATGTATTACAAGTTTGGAATGTTAACTTAGTCTGTTAACATGAAACACGTCAGACTGTCACGTGAGGCCTTTTCATTTCACCCCCACTCCCACTCATCTAAGAACCAAGAAATATGAAATTGATGTCGCCTTATATTTTAGTAATTATGCGGAGAAAGCTCAGAGCATTAACTTGCTTACAAAACTCCTCCACAATTGGTCAGGAGTGATATTTTGAACTGATTGTTCCATGTAATAAAACAGAATTGAGGTAAGATCCTTACAGACTAAGTGACATTACCCTTTAAATGATAGAAATTGAGCATTTGAAATTTGTACTACACTTCTCTGAAGTATGGAAATTTCATCAGTTGGATGTACAGTAATGATTGTTCACAGGTCTGGCTCTTAGGCACATATGGAAGTTAAGTATTTTGTTGCACCTGTCTATGCAGTATGTATCAGTTTTGTTATTTTGCTCCGAACATGGGAAACCTGTATATTAAAACATGGCATTGTCCTCCATTCAAGAGACGGTCTAGATCACTTGTTCTATCAACTCTTGACACTTGCATTTTTATATTTTTCATACTCAAATCTACAATACACTTCATGAAGCTTCTATAAGACAGTAGGTCACCATATTACACAATATACTAGTAGATTGTGAATATATCAACAAAACGTATCGAAAAAAGAAGAATTTTCCTGTAACACGGACGCACACATGTAATAACAATATAATAACATCGTCACCATTCAGCATGTTGATGCCACCTGATACATGTACCAGTACATTTAACACATGCAGAATCAGCCAGTGCTTAGCGGGAATGACTTTCTTAGTGTAATCATTAGACCAAGGACATTATGTAGTATAATGTCCTTGACTAGACCATTTTTTATGTGAATTCGTCACGAAACCACAGTATGGTGTCACTTCGGACTTTTCACGCAAGATGAGACCTTCTTTTAGCTTCTGTCAATCATCCAATTGCCAAAGTTTTATTGAAGATGAACTGGACGTGGATATGGCTCAAACGAAGCTGCAAGAGTCTACGAACAACTAGTGGGTGTCACTGGAAGACAAGAAAAATGTATAGGCTAATGACTAATAATCTGGCACCAACTAAAACCAGCTCACTGAATATCTAAAACAGTCACTTGCCAGGAATTGTAAGGCCCGATGCCAGGTACTAGTATGCTATAATGAGGGGCTATTGTTATATTGAAGTGCTAAAAAGCGAGACTGTAGAATTAACAGCTTAGGCATCGGCGTACTTTTGTGTCTACCGTTTTTGCTAAAGACCCGATGTGTGGGGGCTGATATGACAGAAAGCCTTTTATCATGATAATAAATGCAGGTAGGAACTATATAGTTCCCACCGATACAGGTGGGGCCTGTAACAAAGGGCTTTTTGTTATGTTGAAGTTCTAGGAAGCAACAATGCAGAACTTTAACAGCTTGGCCGGCAAATCTTAGACGCCGGCGTACTTTGAGTTTGACCCGATGTGCGTGGGGCTAATATAACAGCCTTTTGTTATGATAAACTGGATATCTACAATAATACAAATTCGACAAAATATGTGAAAGCTTGATCGGCGAATGTTAGCGTCGGAATACTAGAACTTTCAGTCACCCGGACACTAAGACCAACTGACAGCTAGCAAGAGGATAAGATAGGATTAAAGTTGAATGTAAACAGAAAAAGAGGGGTCGTCGTAACAATATCATATATGTGTATGCACAAAGCAAGAAGTTTTTATTTGTTTTGCCTCAGAACTAATTCAGGTAGATACGACCGGTGGACAAGGCTGACTACGATGTGTATTTCAGCCACACCGAAAAGGCATTGATTTGCATAAAAAAAGATAGTGAGTAAAGAACTTGTTTTTCGTGACGATGACTTTACCGATCTTTAATGTCAAGCGCAGTTAGCAGTTCAACCAATGGCAGCAAGGCAATTGTCGATTCGACCAATGAGATAGCGACTATTTGACGGAGGTGGGCGGGACAGATTTGTGGAAAAATCGAGTATTGCAGGTTTATAAACGACGTGTGGTTCCAAACGTGAACTCACAAGTCAACGCCATGCTTCGAATGCCTGAAACATCGATCAGCCGTGTGATAGCCCTGCACAATGAGGGTCTCGGGCCGTGCGCCATCACACGTACTCTGAAAGAGGAGGGATTGAGGGGGTGTGAGAAAACTGTGTTGAAAATGATACACAGGATAACTCCTCACATCCGACGCGGAGTGATTGTGTACCCTAGGCCAGGGCGATGTGGCATCGCAAAACTGCAGATCGAGCCTCTGGACTTCATCGACTACGCCATAGAGGTGGCTGATTCGGATGCCGAGGAACTACAGGAAATGTTGCGTGAGAGGTAAGAGAATATTTACACATGTAAGGGTAGAAATTGCGATCTGGTAGAATCGCCTATTCTGTCGGTTGAGATCCCGATCGGTGTTTGTCAACAGATACAAATAAATACTTGTATTCTGATCAGTATGCTGTCAATTATGTGACAGTGTTGAATTTCAAGTCAATCCATTCATCTGAAGTGACGTATTCATGAACTGAAGTTGAAAATTTCTGCTAATGTCGGGATCTGCAGCTGAGATTCGGGATCTCTACCAGATCGGAGCCTCTGCTCTGAAAGGTCGCTCTGAAATACTTATTCCCGGGGCGAATGCTCTTGAACGATTTGTACTACTCTAATGTGGCAAGGTAGTATCCATTGGCCAAGAAGTGACCATTAGCCACCGATTTCTACACGTACACGGCTCGTCATACGGGACGTGCCACTTTTCCGACCTCGGTGGTCAATTTTCTACACGGTTTGTTACGTAATCAGTAATGACAAGTACATTGTATATGCTAAGGGTAGAATGAAAGCTAACCTCCTTGTCGTAACCGAGGTTGTAAGTTATAGTATGGGTGCATCTCAAATTTGTCGAATTCTGCAATTGAATACTAGTACTTAGATCTATTCGGCGGCAACATTCAAAAAGATGATTAACGCTTATATAAGTTAACATACAAATAAACAATGACTTATCGCGGATCATATGATTGAAAGAAGAATATCTTGTGAACTATTCGAATATAATTTGAATATTCTTTTGTTTGTTTCTTTGTTTAGGTTTGGCATCTCCGTTCACCAATCAACGCTTAGAAGGCAATGCTATGCAATGGGGTGGGTGAAAAATAAGCCTTACCTACAACAACAACAACTGCTCAGTGAGGAGACCAGAGAAGAACGCCTGGCGTGGTGTCAGAAGATGGTGCTCCAGAACGAAAGGTTTGACGACGTTATCTTCACCGACGACACGGTCATCTCCTTAGACAACAACGCCAACGTCTGGTTCAGGAAGCGGTGGGACAAGGTGCAGGAGGCGGATGAAGACTTCAGGACTCCACGACTGAAACATCCCAGCAAGGAGTCCGTGAAGGTTTGGGCCGGCATCTCCAAGCGAGGGCACACACAAATCCTTGTCTCCTCGGGTGAAATGGACGCAGACTTCTTCTGTCAAGAGATCCTGATCAACACCCTGGTGCCGTTCCTGCGCCGTCACTTCCCAAAGGGGCACCGTTTGCAACAGGTAAGCTTTTGTTTTTGATGGATTTATGGAGATGGATTCAGTTTTTAAACTATTCGATGCGGTGGCAAATGCCCTGCTACAGGAAATTTGTTAATGCACGCTGAAAGAACTTTAAAACCTGTGGGAATCTATATAAAACAAGAGGCCCGCTCATAATGAGCATTTCCAATGTGGGAAGTTTGAAATCACTGAAGGAAACCCTCTGAAGTGCTCCGGGAACATCGCTAATACATGTACCTCACGACAGACCCAACCCATTCAGGCCAGTTTTTATCAGAGGTGTCTGAAGTGTAAGTCATCACATAAACACCGATATTTTTCAGTGTTATGAAGAAGGAATTGAATTAACAACGATATTTTGTACCGTACGTGTGTGCTATTTACCGGTAAGACATGTTAGCCGACCGGTCGTGTAATTGGGTGTACACTGTACAGGCATTGTCAGCCATATTGTACACAATTTTAAACGTTTAGATGTGATGGTAAGTTACGAATCCGTAATTGTGGTGCTGATAGTTTATCCAAAAGACCCCTTTTCAAAATACACCGCCATACAGAATCTGTTCTTGCATGTGACGTGAGAGCATAATCTGGACGTCGACGGAACGTGCATGAGTTGGTGTCTACCGCTATGTTACCTGTATTAACATACGCACGCTCCCGGTAGATTTCGTTACTCCGACGAATGTACTTATGAATACGATACGAAGGAGTGCATTTCACAATCAATTCTTTCACGTCAATAGGACGCTGACGCCGTGCGCACCAGCTGGAAGTCAACAGTCCTTATGGAGGCAGCGGGCATCACTTGGTGGAAAACACCGGCATCAAGTCCTGATCTGAATCCTGTGAGTAAATTCACTTAATATTCACGCACATGTTTCAAGTTTTACTGTATTCTATTTCCATACACATTAGTGTATTATGTAGTAATATTTTACGAAGTTCATATTGGGTAACCTTGCGTACTTGGGAAACCTGTTGGCATATAGAACTTCCTTTTTGCATATTGCCAGCCTTGTGCTAAATTCTTCGCCTTGAATATCTGTTTTCTTTCTTTCTTTTTCTTTCTTTCTTTCTTTCTTTCTTTCTTTCTTTCTTTCTTTCTCTTTCTTTCTTTCTTTCTTCTCGCTCTTCGTTTCTTTAATAAGTCTTCCCCGTACGTATACAGTACACCCGCGCTATAGCCTGTGTTATACACAAGCTCTTTCAGCTAGAGGTCAATGACCCCCACAGAAGGGGCGGCGTCCGCCAGGAGCGCGATTTTTAGTCAGGGTACCCGCGCTCTGTATCTGTCTAGCCAATATACCGGTACCGTAACCGCCCTTCCGCGTAACACGTGGCGCCGTGTCTCAAGCCCTCGTCTTGTATTTTCAGTTAGCGCACACGTTATTTTCCCTAATCTCCCAACAGATTTCTTCGGTGGCAAGACACTTTACTTTGCCATCCCGTTACGGACAAACTATAACGTCTTGCTCCCGAAGAAAATTTCTTGGAGATTATTTTCCTCCAATCTTTTCCCGTCGCCATCTCTACCTATCCGCACCAGTTTTCGATCACATATACATTTGTATGTGTCGATGATGTACTGCATTTTTTCTTTGAAAAAATATACATTAGTAAAACACAAATCTGTCAGACATATGTGGTAAAGGTTCTTATTTTCTTGTAGATGGAGCACGTCTGGCATGAGATGAGGCAGTACCTCAGGAAGGTCGCGAAGCCCAGGACCCAGGACGAGTTGGTGCAGGGCATCCAGCAGTTCTGGAGCGACCGGATGACGCCTGGCAAGTGCTGCAGGTACATCGACCATCTGCACAAGGTCATGCCGGTTGTCATCACACGGGTCGGCTACCCCTCGGGGTATTAGTTCACCCATTGGACACTGATTCGTTGTATCCGCAGACTTGTGGGGCGGCGGTTTTAATTTTTTTTTATCGGAAAGCGACGCGAGCTATGTCGCGGAGGGACGGTTTTGCCGCCAAGGGAGTTTACCAGGGAGATGTTTCACCGGCCGCCTAACTCTCCCCGGCAAACTCTCGGCGGCAAAACCGTCCCTCCCCGACATAATTCGCCGCCACCCTACAAGTCTGCGAAGGAGGCTAGTTTGTACAGTACGTTGTATGGAAGTAAGAATTATAAGTAGTCTGTGATGCAAGTATACGGCGCCTTGAGTGGCAACAGTTGGTAGAAAGTACAAAAAAAATGTAAGGTTTTGCACATTCATCTGTATCATTATTTACGTTGCATGTTACTAGTTACTACAGAAGTAGTGTTGTAGATCCTCTCTTTTATCTCTTTTGAAGTACTACAATTTTCCTTCATCGACAGTAGACAGGAACACCAAAAACTAGTAGATTCTTCTGTTGACCCCATTGCCTGAAATGGCTGGTAACACAGGATGTTATTGCCCCAGCAAGCTTGATAGATCAATAACTCTGGGACACTTGATCTGAAGACAGGAAATAAACTTTGATAAACTATATTGATAGCTTTGACCTAACTTCCAGTAGTTTGAAAAATACATGCTTAGCATGTGAAAATATGTGCAAAAACATTCAATGTGCAAACAAGCAAGTTACACTTATTTTCCTTGAAATACTTATTTTCTGTTCACTTAGATCATGTTTCTCTAAGATTTTATTCCAATGCCTGTCCCTCTTGGCTAAACCAAGGAGCTCCAAATAGACCTTCTAAACACAATACACCTTTTGCAGAAATCTTACTGATTCCTTATTGACAGACAACAATTCTAACTACAGAGGCCACATATTAAATATACCATAGCAAGTGGTACAGCACCATGAAGTAAGAGGAACATGTCAATCAGAATTCACCAGTCAATTTTGCTACATTAAATATTGTGTACATACAGCTGAGCAAGCTTTGTCTGTTACAGTACACAATGTACATATACTAGCATTTACTAGGTATTTGTTGAAGTCTAAATTACAGATCACATCATTGTGACAACTCATTAAAACTTCTTGTGAGAACCAACTTTGTGGTAACATATGATTCTATGCGTATTACTTACGGCAAGAACCATTGGTACCTCCTTCCAACCATACTTCAGAACATACTGTACAGCTTGAAATGCTGGCAACAACAATGGTGGCAAGTCAGCGCTAGAAACAAAATAATTTTTACTGCAACTGTCTCCCACTTAAGAGCTGAAACGGGCCACAGTTCTAATATGTGCGTAGACTTTCCACAATGTTTAATGGCTGACATCAACAATAGGTCTGACGTCCGACTCAGCCAGTACTACTAGTATTCTGACAGTGGGAAAGAGGGTGTCAACTCTCCTTTTTCCCAGCAGAACTGGTCCACGGCAGAAACGTGGGGGTGAATGAGTACGTGAAGGCACCCCACATCATGTCCCCTGCCTGCTTCTGTAGCCCGTCGTCCCTCAGCAGACTGGATGAGATGGTACGACCCAGCTCCGTGGCCTCCCCCTGGACGGTGTCCGATGCCAGCACACTCTTGAAGAAGTCAGCGACCTCCTGCTGTACCCTGGGCTCGTTGAACAGCTCCTGAAGGACAGCTAGCACAGCATCCCTGACCTCAGGGCAGGAGAGGATGGTCTTGACGTGCGCAGCTATTTGACTCTGCATGTCTTCATCGCTGAGCACCGTTAGAATCATGTTCTTCAGAAGCTGACCCATTATCTCCTGGTTCTTAGCATCTCCCATGATGTCTGTAAAACAAAGAAAACACATCTAAAGGAACATACATGCAGTGAGATAGCATACATGCTCATTGTAATTTGTATGAAAGATGCAGAAAGTGGTGAACTTTACAAACAATATCCTGTCTGTGCAGCTGCTATCCAGACCATATTGATTGATCTCTGCTGTCACACAATTTTTCAAAATAATCAATTATGTAATAATTTCATTTGCCTCCCAGTAACAATATTAGAAACCAATTGAAACAAAAAATGGCCATGCGACCACAGATTCTTTTCTGACTGGAAACAAGGAAAGTAACATTTTGAATGCATGAAGTACCACACAGAGCATACAACAACAGAAAATCCAGTACTAAGGCCAGGGGACATCCAAGGAAGACATGGATACTAGTAGATAGTGTGAAGGACACCCTGACTAGGTATGGCATGCCTGTAACAACAGCCTCCAGACTAGCTGTCGGCTGCCAACTCTCCCTCCCCACGACTCCCCAGATGGTAGAAGTGGAAGGATAAAGTAAAGATTGGGAGTTTTTACCAATGATAAGGTTGGAGGAGAACTGCTTAGTTTGGTTCAGGATGTTGTCATCATTCAACACGTTGTTGACCAGGGCTTTCGACAGTTCATTTGCCCTGCTCACCAGCTCCTCGTCTGCCATGGAACGGGTCGCCACGTTCGACACTTCCTCCGCCACGTTCTGCCGCACTTCCTCTCGGAACAGGTAAACTCCCAGGCCTGAGAAGTAGAAGACAGATGCAGCATTTTGGTTACTGTTTGGATAAACATTGTACTACAGTAATAGCATGAAATTGAAGACAGGAAATAATATAACCTTTTTGGGACCTAATTTCCTGTCAGTGTCCCCGATGCGCCTACCATCTACCATGTGCAAATGAATACGGAAACACAAACATACACACAGAAGACAAAACCAGGTACACATTCGTGACAAAATTGACGGCTTGTAACATCTGATTCAGAAGTAAGTCTTAGAACATACCAGACAGAACAGCGAGAGCTAGCAGAATCTTGAAAATATTGTATCCCTTCCATGTTGGCCCTCCGTCCTGAAGGCTGGTCTGTATGGTTGCCAGACTATCACGGATGTACTCCAGAGTTCCCTTGGAATTCCCGGCCGTTGCGGGATCGTCACCCGGAGGTTTACGTCTGTCAGTGGCGCTACAGAGTGCTCTGATACGAACGGTCAAAACTTTACTAGCATAACTCGCTGTTTTACAGCGTTCCCCGCGAATGGTGGAGTAAAGGCGGTACGTCCGCCCGGCTAACGGCACACCTGGGCACGTAACGGGTAGAAAAGCAAGCGGCCGATCAGACGTTACTCGCGGCTGCAGCATCAACAACGTCCGGCAGAGCCTGCTATTTCTCCCCACGACAGACATACATCCATACATACTGACTCTGATCTCTACATGCTCATTCGGACTCGCTGTGCGCGTGAAAAACGCCAAGAACCACCACTGACAGTTCTCATTTGTTCCATGGTCGCCATGTTGTTATTCTGTACAAAAATGACCTTTGACCTGTAAGTGGGCGGAGCTGCTATCAGCTGTTCACAAGGTGGAGGCGAGGAGAGAGAGAGAAGAACCCAAGTCTCTCTGAAATAAGGTGACATTTGGGCGTGTTTTCCATGTGAGGTAACAATGTTATCATCACTTGATTTTACTTATCTGCTTCCAGATTACGTTAATGTTAACGCAGCACACATAGAAAGTTTCAGAAGTTTTGTGATTAATCAAAATGAGCTTGTTGCTATTAATTATAATTTTTGTGGAGCATGACCAGTAAGAGCAGGGGTCCCATAAGTAGCAGCTTTTAAGCTTAAGTTCAGTAACCACCAGGTGGTCTACCATTGTTAGTCAAAGTTTGAAACACTAGTTGTAGTATGCTTTACTAAAGAAACTACTTAGCTTGTGCACTACCTAGTCAGTTTGAAGCAGAAATATTGGAGACTCAGTTGACTTTAGATGTCACCCCACAACGGTCTGTTCATAATGTCAGTTAAAAGCCTCAAAATAGCAGAATAAACAAACAGTCCAGTACTAGATCTTAATTCCCACCAGATGTTTTGCAGTACCCCCTACAAATTATAAATTACATTCAGGTTGCAAGTTCAGTAAGCCTGTAGATATGATATCATTAGTCCATTGTTGATGATTGATGAACATAAGTTAAATTTCACATCTCATCCACACACAGGAGTCACTTCTTCCAGTTTTAGAACTCCGCAATCAGGACAATGGCTGCTAACGTTGGCAAGAAGCTCATCAACTCCAAAGAGCGATGCGTAGATGAGTCACTAGAGGGCACCGCTGCAAGCCACCCGGGTCTGCGCCTGCTGTCTGGTCATCGGGTGATGGTTCGAGAGGACGTGGCTTCAGTGCGAGCGGCAGCAAAGGTCACCCTGCTGTCCGGAGGAGGGTCTGGACATGAGCCAGCACATGCAGGTATTGTAATCCTGCTACTTAAGAGTGTTATGCATTCTCCCATGTAGAGCTATCATACCTTCACCTTGGGATTGCCACATGATAGCTCTGCATTTGAGAATGACCAATATTAGATGTAATGCTGATTATGGAAAAATTATCTTATTTTGTGTTTTTAGAGAGCCTCTGACACTGGTATGTCAACAGAATAGCAGAACATGATAGAGGACAGTGATCTATTGGCAATGTTTCAGATTTGTCAGTTTACACTTGGTCAGAGAAAGCCAAAGTTGTTACAATGATATGTTGTTTTTTTGTTTTGCAACTAGGTTACATTGGCTCTGGGATGCTGACAGGGGCCATAGCGGGTTCTGTGTTCACCTCTCCTCCTCCTGCCGACATTCTGGCTGCCATCAGGGCTGTGGGACAGGGGAACCCAGGTTTGTGTGTCCTGTAGGCTGTGGGACAGGGGAACCCAGGTTTGTGTGTCTGTGGGACAGGGGAACCCAGGTTTGTGTGTCCTGTAGGCTGTGGGACAGGGGAACCCAGGTTTGTGTGTCCTGTAGGCTGTGGGACAGGGGAACCCAGGTTTGTGTGTCCTGTAGGCTGTGGGACAGGGGAACCTAGGTTTTTGTGCCCTGTAGACTTTCACACAAACACATTTTACCATTCCAACTGTTTTTCAGCTGGTACACTACTCATTGTGAAGAACTACACAGGAGACCGTTTGAATTTTGGCATGTCGTTGGAGAGAGCTCGTTCCGAGGGCCTTCATGTTGACATGTTGGTGGTTGGAGAGGACTGTGCCCTGACCAGCCATGACAAGACAGCTGGCAGGAGGGGTCTGGCTGGTACAGTCTTCATCCACAAGGTACATACTTTAGGCATATTACGGCTGGCTAGTAACTAGAGTGTATGCACGTGCAACTCATGTACTTATTCTGCTACAGTGCTATAAACACACCCACCTACTAGTATGTTTTTTATCAATGACATATACATGTACTGTAATATATACATAAATTTGGCAATGGTGATGATGTATTTTTAAGCTGTCTGTTTTGACAAATTAAACATAGCTTGTTAACTGACTTTGCAACAGATTGCAGGAGCCTTGGCTGAGCAGGGGCGATCACTGGAGGACATTGTAAAGGTGGCTTCACAGGCGGCCAGTCAGATGGGTAAGCTGAAACTGTGGGCTAACAGTTTTGTTCTTTCTTTAGAACAGTAGACAATGAGGACAGTAACTTAAGATGAGGTTGTCATAATCATGAAAATTGTATGTTTGTTCCTTGCGCTATCTTTCCACTAGAGACTCATTATAGGGATCCATTATAGATTTGACATATTTGCTTAACAAGTTTCATAGATAAAGAATTTTTTTTTTCGCGTGTTTTTCTGTGTTGCAAATCACATTTTTCATCATGCATGATATTCTAATTATAAAATCAAGGGTAACACAAGTCCAATTTTGGTTGCTCAACATTTGCTCAATGAGTGCTATCTTGTAGAAAGGGTAGTTATGGAAAGTCGATTGTAAGAACTCAGGGAATGACATAATGATTGCACTGGTGTTAGGTGTGAGTTGTTGTTCCCCTGATGACTACAGGCACCATTGGGATCAGCCTGTCACCCTGCAGTGTTCCTGGATCAGGGCCGTCCTTCCAGCTGCAGCAGGATGAGTTTGAGCTGGGCCTGGGTCAGTCATACATGCCAAATTTGTTCTTATATCTTACAATATCTCACTTTTTTTCCTTCATGCATGGAGGTATTGTTTTGGATATGTTTGTGTGTGTGCATTTGTTTTTATGCTTATACAGTTGAGTGACAGTTTGTGGTTGGGGGAATTCCCAAACCACAGACCACAAACTGTCAGTCACAGGAAGTTAGGTCCCAAAATTCTGTTTATATGTCCACAAAGCTACATGTTGAGAACTGAATGTTGTTTAAATGTTTCCTTACAGGTATTCATGGTGAGGCTGGCTTTCGGAGGCAAAAGGTAATTTAATAAAAATGACGTAACAATTTATGACAAATGAGTTTTGTTGTTTTTTCCCTTCCCATTCATGTAGGTTTTCCTCCATATTGATGTATGTAGGTCACTCAGGGTGTGCTGAATAAACGTGTTGTTTTGTTGTAGATGACTTCAGCTGATGAAATTGTGTCAGCCATGCTGGATCACATGACTAATCCTGACAACAGCACTCACCTCAAGATTCCAAAGGGTGAAATATTATAACTCACCTATTAATACATGAAAATCAGAGAAATAAGATAGCCATTATCCTCAATTTTCTTTCTGGCCCATAAAGTTAAATCATTTTTACTGGCAATCTTTTCTTTTCTGGTAACTCATTTCTTCAAATTTCTGGTTGCATGTGCCTAGATATGTTCAGCTTTCTTATGCCCTTCAAGAAGATGTTGTGTCTCCTTAACTGTTGTCCTGACAGGAAGCAGGGTTGCCCTGATGGTGAACAACCTGGGAGGAACATCCTGTTTGGAGCTGGGCATTGTGGGTAGGGCAGCCATTCAATACCTGGGTACGTTTTCTTCCTATTCATGATTTTTAGGTAAGCCATTTGCCTTTCTATCACTGTAGGGAATGAAAAGTTGAAGAGAGCTGAATTGTATCACCCGTGACCTTGAAAGTTCAAACAGTCAAAGTTCTCGTAAAAATGAATGAATTTACAATACACTATAAGTTTTGTTGATTTTTTCCTTTCTTTTCAATATGTTGAACAGAGAGCAGAGGAGTGGCAGTGCAGAGGGTGTACACAGGGTCATTCATGACATCACTGGAGATGGCAGGAGTCTCTCTCACTGTGCTCCATCTGGATGATACCATCACGGCCTGTCTAGGTCTGGTCAAAACTAACAGAACAATGAAGAAATATTTTTATTAAAGATTAACTGAGTCCAATTCCAAAATGTGATGTGTTCATAAACTTTATCAAACCTGTTGCAGTTACCATTAACATGAAAATATATGATATTTTGTTGAATTGAATTTGATTTGACTTTACATACTAATGCATGTATTTAGTAAGTAAATAAAAAAGTACTGTTACATATCAGAAATGAAAAATATGGCCTGAAACTGTAAATTATTTGTGTTGTGCGTCCTTTTAGATGCTGATACCAGTGCCCCGGCATGGCCATCTCATTTGTCAGGGGTTGACAGGACATCTGATGTGTACATCCCTGCACCGCAGCACATCCAAGCAGAGGAGGGGGGGACACCCCTGGGCCAGACGGTACCAACAGGTCAGTCTGCTGTGTCAGGGATGGTATCATCTGGCAAAGGGCCCGTACAGATAATTAATGTTTCAGGTCCCTCACACCATCAGAACTTACTAAGTACAATGTAGTAACTCCTGTGAATTTATTATTGACCAAAGGAATTTATTGTCTGAGTCAGAGGTACTACAAAAGGCCTGGAACAGAAACCTTGATGACTCTGAGGCCAGAAGTGCATGAACCTATAACTTGTGACATTTAGCTCTAAATGGGTCCCCCCCCCCCCCATGGTCAGTAACTTGCTGTAAATGTGTGAATGAACCTTTTTGTCAATCTGTGGTTACAAAATCCCAATCCCCCTCCCTTCATGCCACTGTAATGCATTCAAATATCCACAGACACACTGTCAAATACACACAGTCATACACAAATGGACAAAAACAATACATGTATCTCACCTGGACATAAATATGGTATTGTCATTAGTTTTGATGACGCTTTTGATACCTTTTAATCTGTTACATATAACTTTAACTCACCCCAGACCAAGCACAAGTTCTGGAGAAGGTGGTGCAGCGAGTTTGTGACCGAATGATTGACTGTGAAGAACAGCTGAACAGTCTGGACAGGGCTTCAGGGGACGGGGACTGTGGAACCACCATGGCCAGGGGGGCAAAAGGTACGTATTAGGATTTTTTCCCCACGGGCTTGTGAATCATTGATTTCTTGCAATAGTCCAAGAACCAACAAACTAAATTGGTCCGGCCTTTAACACACACATATAGTGTTAGCAAAGTATTAAAGCAAAATTTAACAGGATACTCGATCGGTAACTGGAGGTTTTCTGAATATTTCAGAAATTCTGGCAGCCCTGAGCCATCTGCCTTTCTCCTGTCCTCACACTCTGCTGCTGACCCTGGCTGCCATTGTGGAGAAGGATATGGGCGGATCGTCTGGTGCAGTGAGTATTAACCAGCTCAAGCTTCCTCTAGCACTGCAACCAGATAACAGGCTATTGCTGCAAAACCTAAATGTAATATCACTGATACAGAGGTTTAGAGGTCCAGACCAATTTGACAAAGTGTGGTCTTCAATGATGACAGAAACATGAATAAACAGTTACAAGAATGTTTAATATTGATTTTAGGCTTCAGTATTGCAAATGAAGAATTACTACCAGTATTAATTCAGTATTAATTCTTCCTATTATTTTGTTCTTACTTTGTGTACTAATATTCATATTTTGTTTAATGAAGTCTTAGATTGGGCAAATGCAAAAATGATTGTAAAAGCCCTCTCAAATTTTTTTATTAATAAGCAAAAGCAATAATAGGAACAGCAATACACCAAAAATACAAGATCAGTAAAGGAAATAATTCAAACAAGCTGGTGTACAATCAATTACGAACATCTACCTGTGCAAAAATTGAAAGTATAAACAATGTCAAGATATTATAGTTTTTGTGAATTTCTCCTCTGTTTATTTCCAGCTGTACAGTCTGTTTCTAACAGCAGCTGCTCGGCCCCTCCAGTCCAGCACTGATCCAGCAGCTTGGTGTGCAGCACTGCATGCTGGGATACAGGCCATCTCAAGGTCTGTGTCCATCACCCTTTACTGATCATGATACAGTCAAACCTGCCCAAGTGGCCACCTCTTCATGTCGGTCAGTTGAACGCCTTTTGAACGTATCATTTTATTTCCACAGGTACAAACATTATATAAGCCTAGAAATCCACCTTTCCCAGAAAACCTCTTTACATTCTCCTGGGCGGCCTTCTTGGGTAGGTTGGACTGTAATAACAGGGTGTTACATGTGTGTCCTCATTCTCAGATAATGTCACACTGAAACAGGATGAAATACTGACTGACATGGCTGAGAGACACAGATCAGTTGTTCTCCCAGCTAGAACCAGGAGGTTAAGGGTTTAAACCCCAGTGATATACTGCGATGTTGTGCTCTTGGGACTCATGCATTTTACAAGAATTTCCTCACTCTAGTCAAGTGTAATAATGTGAGATCTGTACCGTCCTGTTGTTGCACAGTGAAGTCATAGTCTTTTTAGACTGAATGACATAGAGAGATGTTTTGAGGTAAGAGCCACACCTTGATCAACCAATGAGCTCATTGACCACAGTAATTATTGAAAAGAGTAGGGGTCCTTCCTGGTAGCCTAATGGTATTGTTAATAGTTAGTGATAACCAGTTCAGCACTAAGGAGAGGTCCAGTCACAGGTATGTAATAGTTAGTGATAACCAGTTCAGCACTAAGGAGAGGTCCTGTCACAGGTATGTAATAGTTAGTGATAACCAGTTTAGCACTAAGGAGAGGTCCAGTCACAGGTATGTAATAGTTAGTGATAACCAGTTCAGCACTAAGGAGAGGTCCAGTCACAGGTATGTAATAGTTAGTGATAACCAGTTTAGCACTAAGGAGAGGTCCAGTCACAGGTATGTAATAGTTAGTGATAACCAGTTCAGCACTAAGGAGAGGTCCAGTCACAGCTATGTATTAGTCTGAGGATAAGCCTAGTAGTACATGTTATATTCACATGAATGTGTCATTAATATCTCTGAAATTGATGGGTTGGGGTGATTTTTGATATGTAGATAGCTTAAGTTATGGTTGACATATGTAATGCCCCAATCTTCCTCAGCTGTGCTCCCCCTTCAACTACTAGTAACCTTTCAATGCCCCCATATCCCCCATATAAAAGCATCAATTCTGCATCAAAATCAGCCCTGCATCAAAAATACCCCAACCCTCCAAAACTATGATAATCTCTCTAAAAATCCTCACCCCCTCAAAAAATCACCCCAAAACCTCACCACACAAAATTCCCCCCAGATCCCTCAGAAACCCCCCAAACAGAAAAGATAACCAACTCCCTAAAATCCTCCACACAAAAAATAGTGCCCCAAAAATATCCCCCACAAAAAAAAAACAATGCTTCCCCAAACAAAACTCCTCTATAGAAAAAAATGAAAATTCCACAGTGTAGTGCTGAAGGACGTGGTGTTGAAGCACTTGTGCCCTCCTCTTGTTAAGATTGGGAAGGTTCTGCAACCGGTGCATGGTGTTTGACTTAGGAAAGCTCCTTGATTAGAGTCAGACAGGCTTTGAAGACCAAGGCTAGCAGAGTGGCTGATGTGATGATGATGATGTGGACAGTCCCGATTGCTTGTTCATTCCTCTTCACTGTGGATATCGCAGTGCTGACGGATCCACTATCAGTCTCTGTCATGTTGTCAGCTTCTCCTTCAGACAGAGTCTTGTCATGGGCACTGTTTTCTGATGCCATGATGTTACTTTGAGTAACATGTAGGTTTACGGTGATGTGGGGGTGACTTTGTTGGATTGTGCTAGCTGATATGTGGACGCTCTGTTGAAAGCCATTTGGGTTAGTGATTTTTGCATTGCTGCATCCTTTTGTTACCTGTTGTATGGACGTTTTTGGTGTTCTTGTGTTTTGCTGAGCTCGTGATGCACATCCTAACCGATCGACAGAAACATCAAAGAGGGGTAAGTTGATAAGCTGTTGGGGTGAAGCACAGTGCCAGTAAATCTCACTGAATGTGGAATAAAGGAAGGAGATTGGCTTGCAGGAGCTCGTGTCACATCCTCCAATGCTGCAACGTTTTGCGCATTTGGCTTTGGTGATTAGCCATAGCAAATTACAGTCACAATGGAAAGGGTTGAAATTGATGAGAATTTTTGCTTTGTAGTTAGGAACAATGAGAGCCTTTTCTGCCAAGGATGCAATCTTATTGGCTGACAGATTTAGCACAATTAGATGTCTGAGCTGTTTCATACAGCCCGCTAATGCAACGTTTGTGATCCTGTTGTTATCTAAGTGTATGAAACGAACAGCTGGCAAGCTACAGAATGATGACCAAGTCACACGTTCGATAATGTTCCGTTTCAGGTTCAATGTGAACAGGGAGCTTAGTTGTGGAATATTTGAGACAGTGTGGATCTTGTTATTGCTGAGAGATAGACGCATCGTATTAGCTGGGATGTCATCAGGGAATCTGGTCAACCCGTGGAATGAACAATTGATTCGAACGAAATATGAGCCAGTTACGAGACATTCTTTTGGCAATGGCTCGCAGTTGATGCTTGCTCCATAAAAAATAATGACAAGAAATGCAAAGAGGCAGCTGAAGACTTTCATCTCTACTTGGCCTGTTCAAATATGTGTCAATATGGAGTAGAAGTTTGAAACTGTTGTTAGTAACGTGCAAAAATCTGATCAAAAGAGACTTAGCTTTGTTTTCAGTCAGTCAGATGCCTAGATACATCGCTTTGTGTTGACCCTGGACGCCGCTCTTTGAAGTGAGATGTGACGTCTCTGGGCCAGGACTGATAGAAATATCTTTGACTGTAGGGTGAGATTAACTGTACAGACAGGTGGCATCATGTTGTATATTCAAGGGATGAAGGGAGACTTATTAATCATTGCTGAGAATACTACCTGTTTTGTACATGTATGTCCAGGGTGGTGTTAGGCTTTCTTAAAATTTGTCTAAGGATGTTTGTAAGTTGCCGATGACATAGCTTTACTGGAAAACTGTATATCTTTTGCACAATACCTACTCACCAGAGTTGAAACCTCATGCCAAAAAATTGGTTTGTACCTTAACACATTTAAGACCAAGTATATGCACTTAAATCCAACAACTGTGAGTAACCTCCTAGCCTCCGATGGTACTACAATTGAGCGAGTTGCCAATTTTAAGTACCTAGGAGGTTACACTGACAGTGATCATGACATGAGTGTTAGGATTGCCCAGGCGTGGAGCACCCTCCATTCACTGCACAAAGTTTGGAAATCCTCCATTAGAAAACAAACCAAAACAAAAGTATTTCAAGCATGTATTGAAGCTATTCTTTTATACGGGTCCGATTCTTGGGTCATGAACACTACGAGATCAAAAAAACTTGACGGTACTTACACTAAGATGCCTATAACATACCCTGGTGTAAACACATCACAAACAAACAGTTATATGGAGCACTCCCAAACATCACCACGGTAGTGAAAAGACGTCGGCTTAGCCTCGCGGGTCATGTGACTCGTGGTAGAGAACCAGTGGGACGACTACTACTTTGGACTCCAGAGACAAAATGGAGGATTGGTTGTCCAATCAAAACACTTAATTAAGGGTCTTATTCAGTCTGAAACTGGTCTACAGGGATTGGAACTTTTGTCCGCAATGAAAGGCAGAAAGTACTGGCGACAAAACTTCACACTCTGCACCTCAGAAGAGGATGAGTAAAGAAGAAGAAGTTTGTCAGTTTGCACAGGTTAGTATCAGACGAGTTACATGTAAAAAAAACAGAGAATCTACAAAAACATGATCAATTTTCAGCTCTTTGATGATAAAAGTAATCATGCCTCCAAGAAAAAGACACAATGTACTGTCATGTAGATAGAAGAAAACAAAAAGCAAAGAAGAAACAATGGTGGCCCAACCTTAAAAACACTGAAGTAACATCTTTAAAACACTGAAATAACATATGTCTGTGCATCTTGATGGTGACAGACAGACATTATTACAACATACAGAAGCTTTTCACCGTACACCAATATATAAATGTAATGAAGTCATAGGAGAGAAATTAATATCCAGATGTAATCTGCTGACAAATTCTTACCCTGTATTAATAACTTTTGAGGTAATTGTTCAGTAAGATAATTCTTTCAATCAGTGACTATTTTGAGGTAATGTCATGAGTACAAGCTTTATCATACACCCAACTCATGCTGATGTTCCAGTGTTTTTGCGGCACCAAAAAATTGTATTGTTCTCATATAACTTATCAAAGTGCATAAATTTTTGGTTCTTCCCATGACAATTAAGCTGTCATTTTGTAAAAGTTAGTGATAACTAGTTAAGCACTAAGGAGAGGTCCAGTCACAGGTATGTAATAGTTAGTGATAACCAGTTCAACACTAAGGAGAGGTCCTGTCACAGGTATACAATAGTTAGTGATAACCAGTTCAACACTAAGGAGAGGTCCTGTCACAGGTATGTAATAGTTAGTGATAACCAGTTCAGCACTAAGGAGAGCTTCTGTCACAGGTATGTAATAGTTAGTGATAACCAGTTCAGCACTAAGGAGAGGTCCAGTCACAGGTATGTAATAGTTAGTGATAACCAGTTCAACACTAAGGAGAGGTCCAGTCACAGGTATACAATAGTTAGTGATAACCAGTTCAACACTAAGGAGAGGTCCAGTCACAGGTATGTAATAGTTAGTGATAACCAGTTCAGCACTAAGGAGAGGTCCTGTCACAGGTATGTAATAGTTAGTGATAACCAGTTCAGCACTAAGGAGAGGTCCAGTCACAGGTATACAATAGTTAGTGATAACCAGTTCAGCACTAAGGAGAGGTCCTGTCACAGGTATGTAATAGTTAGTGATAACCAGTTCAGCACTAAGGAGAGGTCCTGTTACAGGTATGTAATAGTTAGAGATAACCAGTTCAGCACTAAGGAGAGGTCCTGTCACAGGTATGTAATAGTTAGTGATAACCAGTTCAGCACTAAGGAGAGGTCCTGTCACAGGTATGTAATAGTTAGTGATAACCAGTTCAGCACTAAGGAGAGGTCCAGTCACAGGTATGTAATAGTTAGTGATAACCAGTTCAGCACTAAGGAAAGGTCCAGTCACAGGTATGTAATAGTTAGTGATAACCAGTTCAGCACTAAGGAGAGGTCCAGTCACAGGTATATGATAGTTAGTGATAACTAGTTCAGCGCTAAGGAGAGGTCCTGTTACAGGTATATGATAGTTAGTGATAACTAGTTCAGCGCTAAGGAGAGTAGTATGTCACAGGTAGTATGTGTATGCTACTAGTATTAGTCTGCAGAATTCTAGGAATTTCACATATACTACTAGGCGAGCCTAGTACCCGGTAGTTTTTGTTATATTCAGAGGAATGTGTTGTTAACATCTCTCTATTTGATGGATTGGGGTGATTTTTGATATGTAGATAGCTTAAGTTATGGTTGACATAATGTAATGCCCCAATCTTCCTCAGCTGTGCTCCCCCTTCAACTACTAGTAACCTTTCAATGCCCCCATATCCCCCATATAAAAGCATCAATTCTGCATCAAAATCAGCCCTGCATCAAAAATACCCCAACCCTTAAGAACTATCCCTCTAAAAATCCTCACCCCCCAAAAAAAATAAAATCCCCAAAACCCCCCACCACATCCCCTCCCGAAATACCCCCCACAGCCCTCAGAAATCCCAAAAAACAGAAAAGGCAATGCCCCAAAATCCTTCCCCCCCTCACAATGAAAATAGCATGCCAAAAATATCCCCCACAAAAAAATGCTCCCAAAACAAAACTGCCCTTTAGAAAAAAAATGAAATTGCCACAGTGTAGTACTGAAGGACATAGTGTTGAAGCACTTGTGCCATCCTCTTGTTAAGATTGGGAAGGTTCTGCAACCGGTGGTGTTTGACTAAGAGTCAGACAGGCTTTAAAGACCAAGGCTAGCAGAGTGGCTGATGTGATGATGATGATGTGGACAGTCCCGATTGCTTGTTCATTCCTCTTCACTGTGGATATCGCAGTGCTGACGGATCCACTATCAGTCTCTGTCGTGTTGTCAGCTTCTCCTTTAGTGTTGTCATGGGTACTGTTTTCTGATGCAATGATACGTGGACGGTTTCGTTGAATGCCATTTCGGTTAGTGATTTTCGCATCGCCATGTCCTCTTGTTGCTTGGCGTGTAGAAGTTTTGGGCATCTGTGTATTTTGCATGGTAGGAGAACGTGTAGCACACCCTAGCCAATGGACAGAAACCTCAAACAGGGGCAAGTTGCGGAACTGTTGGGGTGACGCACAGTTAAGGTCAGTGAATTTGAAATAGCTGTCAAGGAAGGAGCTCTTGCAGGAGCTCGTGTCACACCCTCCATTGCTGCAATTTTTCACGCATTTCACCTTGGTGATCAGCCAAAGCAAATTACAGTCACAGTGGAACGGGTTAAGATTGATGAGAATTTTCGTTTTGGGGTTGGGAATAACAAGACCATTTTCATTACAAGATGTAATCTTATTGGCTGTCAGATCTAACATGAGTAAATGTGTAAGTTGTTTGATGCAGCCTGGTAATGTAACACTTGTGATCCTGTTACCGTCTAGGTATATGAGGTGCACAGCCGGCAGGTTACAGAGTGACGACCATGACACGCTTTCAATAATGTTCCTCCTAAGGTCGAGTGAGAACACCTTGTCTAGTCTCGGAATATTTGAGACAGTACGGATGTTGTTATTGTTGAGATATATACGACTCACGTGGGGTGGAATGTCATCAGGGAAGCTGGTCAACCCGTGGAATGAACAGTCAACTAAAGTTAAATTCGATTTGAGACATTCTTTTGGCAATGGCTCACTGCCGACGCTTGTTACTCCATAAAGAATAATGACAAGAAATGCGAGGAGGCAGCTGAAGACTTTCATCTCAACTTGGCTTGTCTAGTATGTTCTGTAGCTACAGGTCAAGCATTGATTCTTCATGTACATACTTCATGAAACACAGACTGTGACCATTTGGCACTGCCTAGAGAGTCTTGTGGAATAGAACTTTATATGAATTTCATCCTACAGCTATTCTTGTACAAGAATCTGATCAAAAGACACCTAGCTTTGTTCCCGGTCAATCGGACACCGTCAGAATTTTGACTGCCGTCTCTGAGTGTTGGCTCTGGACACCGCTCTTTGAAGTGAGATGTAACGTCTCTACACCTGAAAGATGTTCGACTGTGGGGGTGATCATGAAATGAACCTGTCAGATACCTGGGACACGTGGGGTCACATTGTATATTCAAGGGCTAAAGGGAGACCAATTGTCTCTCTCTGAGAATACTGCCTGCCTTTTACATGCATGTCCTGGGTTTAACCTTTCACTGTCTGAGAATGTTGGTTAGTCTGTGTAACGCAAACTCTGCTGTCCACAGCTTTAGTGGCCCCTCCTCGCAGGTGCCGCTGGATGTTGGCAACTGTAGAGCGATTTAATCAGGCTAGATGTTTGCCAGTTTGCACCCATAAGTGACCCTAGTTGCATGTAATAGAAAACAGAGAATTTTAAGAAAATATTACAATCATTTTTCAGCTCTGTGATGATAAAGTTAATAATCCCTCCAAGAAAAATACTAGATAGAAGAAGCAAATGACTACTAAGTACATATATCCTCTCACTCTCCCTTTTTTGTCTGTTGTTCCATGTCTCATGTGGGTTATACGTGCTTGCACGTGGATGCTGAGGCCTGCTATTGTCCCTCACATTTTGTAGTTTGTAGGTTGCGTTTTCAGAATGTTGGGTATCTTTTATTGAAAATCAGCACCACTGGCAGTAGGAAAGATAAGAAGAAAACAAAACAAAAAACAAAGAAGAAATGATGGTGTTCCAATCTCAAAAATTTCAGAAGTCATAATTGTCTGTGCAACTTGATTGTGACAGACATTATTACAACATACATCAGCAGTACATCAATATCCAAATGTGATAAAGTCATAGGGGAGAAATTAATATCCAGATGTAATCTTCTGATAAATTCTTACCCTGCACATAATTACAACATGCATGGAGTCTGCCTTCCTACTTTTGTGTCTCTACACTCAGATTAAAAGTATATGCTGTTATATGTATAGAAAATAGAATCTGAATTGTGTTGTTCATCACTCATGTTGTACAATAAAGAATTTTGTAAATCCTCCATAAATCATTGCTTTGCTTTAATTTGATGACGTTTTGCTACTACATTGTAGGTTCAATATATGATGAAGTCTGCTGTGGTTCATCAATATCCAAATGTTATATAAAGTCACACGAGAATATTACATGTACATGTCATGTAAATTCAGACATCGCACATGGCATGCAATATGTACGTGGCCCTTTCTTGCTGCGTCATGTTGATATTGATCTGCATGCTGGTTATGTAGAGGTGTGTCTCCACACACCAATGCTGTAAAAATTTACATCACAATGCAACTCTGGAAAATATGTGTATTGAAGAGTTCACCATGAATTCATATTAATTTTTCTTTGCTTTATTCATGATCAGGTATGGTGGTGCAGAGCCTGGTGACAGGACAATGGTCAGTACCATCAACTATAGACATACCGGTAGTGGTTTACGTGTTTCTGCATTGACAGTGTTGTATTTAAAAAAGAAATGCAATAAAATTTAAATGTAACTAAAGATAAAGCCTTCAGGAAGATGAAGATGAAGTCACTAGGAGTTTCTGGGAAGGAACTTACTAGTACTTTGTCTGACCTTTTTTGGTCTGTAGTTAGGTGCTGTCACTCAAGAGTATGGACACACAAGAGAACACACACATGGACACATTCGAACACACTCAAAAGAATACCTTCATTTTCAGGGAGGTAAATAGATTCAATTCAACTGGATTCTCAGGCCTTTATCTCTACTTGCAGCTGGACCCTCTCAGCGCTGCCCACAGGACATTGTCTACTGCCCTGTCATCAGACAGGACTGCCTTACAGGCACTTGAAGAGGCTGTCAAGGTGATGTTATACAACTTTGTCACACATTTCTGACACAACAGGTGTGCCTTATATAATACATACAATGTTAATAATTATGTTTGCTGTGTTTGACTGACATGGGCCTGTAGTTCTACCTTAAAGTTTGGATTTTCACTTTATCTTCCAATGGTTAGAATTATCTATGCCCACACCATACACATAACCTAGGTTCCTGCAAATCTGAAACCTCAGGGAAGTATCCATAATTTTTGTGAATTTATTGGAACAACCAAAGAGATGTATTGTCAATGGGCCTAGAACAGAAACCTTGCAGGCTCAGAGCTTGACATGCCCTAACTTCAAGTGAGTATATGCCAGTAGCTGTGTAGGTGGACTCACTCCCTCCCAGCCTGCAGGGAGATCATGATCAGTTAGACTGCCAGCTTGACCTTAAGCAGGTTTAATCATTATCTACTGCATTCAAATGCCTATGAACACAGAGGACTTCCATAGGGGATATAGATTCTGAAGTAATATGAGATTTTGTGTGACAGGCTGCAGAGAAGTCGGCCCAGGCTACAGCCAGCATGCCTGCCCGGGCAGGCAGGGCCAGCTACGTCGGCGCAGACCAGCTGACTCAGCCCGACCCAGGGGCCACTGCTGTGGCCATCGCCATCAGGGCTACCCATGATGCTGTGAAGGGCAACTGAAGGGCACGGAACTGCCATGAATTTCAAGTAACACTGATCACGTAATTGCATTTTGAAAGGAACTGGAAATTACTGTCATCTTCATGATATTTTACATATGGAAATTATTCTAATGACATTACATTAGCTTCAACTTTATTGTTCCTCCTGATACCAAAATTGAAGTGATGATCTTTCAAATGTCATGTTACACTCAACTATGTGCAGTTTATCCAGAAATAGGGTGAAATGTAACTAATGGACATTCAAGAAGGTGCCTTACACGTTTGGGAATGACTTTTTAAATATTTAGTCAATAACTTAAAAGATTTTCCTCAGACTTGATTTTGCAGTCAGGGGCAGGTACCTAACTAACAATTTTTATTTCACCTGCCTGCCTGCTCCTTCATAATTTTCAAAAAATCCAAGAACCAAGAAATGAATTGGTTTAGTCAGAGTAGCAACTCATTGCAAATGGAATATGGAATCATACTTTTACACAGAATCTACCCCCAAACTCCTGTATCATGATTCCACAACAACTGGGACCATTCACCTACATTAGAATGCATCGAACAGGTGTATTTTTGTGGTAGAAATACAGTACCTCTGGTATAGGTAACATGAATTCACCTGACTTGTTGCATAGAAATGGTACCTTTAGAATTTGTCTTTGTATAATACTAGATATTCTGTGGCTGACATGCAAGAAGTAATAGAGTAACCAACAGGTTGGTGTTGCGGCAGAAAAGATGTAATTTTAGTACAGTGATATCTCCTTGACCTTCATTGAAAAAATTCAATACTATGCTTTTTACATATACTTGGAATCTTGATTTTACACATTACATTACATCAAATAAAGATAGATAAATAAAGTGAAATAACTTGCAAAGGGATTTGAATGAATGTGAAGTATTTGTAGACAACACCACTGCCAGTGCCTGTACTGACATGTAACATTACATCTGATTCAGCTGTCAGAGTGGGTACGCACTGTCAGAGTTCCAGTCTCTCTCAAACACAGCCTTCAGTTGCTGGTGGATGTTGTTGTACTTTGTGTTACCATAGAAACCCAAGGCAGTATGATTAAGCAGCAAGCCAAAACTAATGTTATCCTCAAAGTCATCCTTGGTCCAGTCAGACGTCCCTGTAAGTGGAGGGGAAGAGTAAAGTGTTTAGATCTATAGCTAAGTTTAGATGTTTAGAAGTTCCTTCTGACTATAATGGCTTTAATAAAATTTAGATACATCAATACCTCCGTACCCAGAAGTATAAATGTGGGTTTTCATAATCTATATCAGTATATATTAAGAAGAAACAATAGTACCTGGCCTCAAACAATTTCTGAGCTGACTCCATGCATCTAGTCACACACGATCCTTCAAATTCCTGGTTGAAACATAATAATGCTTACCAATAAATATGCTGTCTTCAGAATACACATATCTGCTATTGTTTGGGCCGCTGGGAGTTTGGCCATCAGACCCAGTAATGTTGAACAATTTCTGAAATTAAAGAAGTTTTCATTTTACAGAAATAACCGCTGGTGTCAAGTAACAGATTGAATCAAAATCATATGAATTACATAAATGATCAAGTTATTTACAAGGTCAAGAGTGGAAATTGTTAAGTTACACTGTGTTGGAAATAACAACTCATCAAACATTGGTCAACCGATTGAAGGAAAAGTTCGCGAGTTGTTCACGCACCACGTGAATGTGACCCCCGCCCAGCCCATGTAGGTTTGACAGGGATTGTAGATAGCCGAACATGTCCGGAGGTGTGTTTTTCCATGCGCTCACAAGGAGGCGCACTTGTATCGCCCGTGATAGTGTAGCTCTGCTCAACGCCTCCTGAAGTACCGGCCAGTAACTGAAATGGGGACAACATTAACACAATATTAGCCTCCAGTTTGCTTATCCCCTGCTTATCTTACTAGCTATGTTGCAATATTTTGAACATATGCAAGCGCACTATTTTCAATATGTCATTGCACTTTACAAGCATCCGTACAACAATCATGTAGTACCTAAGGCCGTCTGTGCGTGAAGAAGGCAGGTAGTCCCTGACGGATATGTCCAGGTACTCCCGCGCGCTGTTGATGACCTTCAGCACGGCGCCCAGCGTTGAACTGTTGTTTCCTGGGTCCAACACAGTCGGAGAGACCTGCGGACAAGTCATGGGCAGATAGACGTCACTACGAGCGGCATATATCGACATCAAATGTGTGCCTTTTATGCAGGCTCAATGACAATGTTATAACGCGTTATAGTGGAAGATATAATTCAGACAACAAACGTCCTCCAAACGGCATAGCTATTAGACCGATCCCATAACCCTGCTCATCTCCGTCAAAACGTAGAAATACAACACTAAAGCATGATGATGCAGGTGTTTGGAGGACGTACTGCCACCACACCACCCACCCCCCATTGGCGGAAGCGCTATGCTGCATGCTGTCATTGGCTGAGCTGCTATGACGGACAGTTAGGATTGATCTTTTGAACGTCGATTGACCGTTCAACCATAGAGCGGAGAACGCCTCCGATCTCCACCCTTCAAAACTGCAAATTCGTTGCCTGTCCTTGGTACTGAAAACCTGTTTGGTGACGGATGCAGTCACACGGATCTTGTAGATAATCATATTTCAAGATGCATTTTGGTTAAAATTTCTCACGTATGTTGATAACAAAAATAACTCAGGCCTGCAAGAACTTGAAGACTAACCGTGACTGAAGCCGTGACGTTGTGCTGCTGGTTTAGGCACAGGTGCATGGGGCGGGCCACGCTCTGCACATGCGTTCCTGAAGCCGCAAGTTCCCACAGGTTGGAGAACACCTGGGTCACGTCACGTGCTAAACACGTGCAGTTAGACACCACAACTCCAAAGTTCTTTCTCTTAAAAAAAAAAAGAAATAGAATATTTCAACATTTTGTGGCAATAACCAATATAAATAAACACTATGCCTGATCTTTTAACCTTCCGTCTCTCTGCCTGTCAATCTTTCCACCCACGTGCTGTCTACATAGTCTCTCCAGACAAACAGACGCACAAACCTACAGCTCAGCCACCCAAAACAAAAACGACTCGGAGGAACGGGGATGGCGGAGTAGACTTACCTGTGACAAAGATCTCCAGGAAAAGGCGGCGCTTCCCAAGTAGAAAGTTTTCTCGTCCGCCACAATCAGGTTGCCATGGACACGACTTTGTTTCTTCAGCAGATTGTCCAGAGCGACCCCCCTGGCCGTGGCCACCCCCCGCCGTACTAACGTGCTGAGTTCTGACGGCGAGGCTACTCTGTCGTCATACAGGATCCTTATCCGGACGCTGCGGGTCGACCCGGCAGAGATGAGCTCCTGCCACAGGCGATGGCCCTAAAAAGAAATTAGTGCAAATTTAGGACAGACATGGTTCCGTATGATTCTGGTCGGGGAGGGAAAAAATGGGATACTAACTAGACTATGTTTTGCACGTCATTATGAGAATTTTAAAATATCGTGGCACGATTACTAGTTACGTTCTCTAGAATAAACTCCTCAAATCTTCCATTGACCTGTGTGACGTCCGTGTCGTTTTGAACGGGGTCGCTCCCCGCCAGCAGGCCCCACGAAGAGGACACGATGTCTAGCGTCCTCTGGGCGGACCTCAGGACCTCCAGCCAGCTGTCGGAAGTCCTCGGCAGACGTGAAGAGTTCTGCCGGAACGTCACGCCGCCAGGGAGTGTCTCTACGTAGGAAAGGCTGGGAAAAGGAGAAAAACGCCCAGGGGTTTAACACGTCTACACGTGAACCGACCGAGTTTTGAGACACAAATGGAAGATGTTGAGGATTTGAAAGAAGTGTGCGCAGAATATTGCAGCGAGATTGTAGATGTCGACTGTGTACTTCGATAAAGGTTTATCTAGATTAATTTGCTACTTTAGACACCTCTTAACTGTGCCAAGTTTCGAAGGAAATGTTCTTGTCCTGATGTTACAATATCTGACTTCGCTAAGTTACATCTAAGGGAACAAGGAATGGCAAATGTATCAAGAGTCAACAGTCAAGTGCATAAAGCAAGAAACTTTTTCTGTTGTCAAACAACATGTATGATGTCGCTAAGCCCCTGTTTAACCACCCTCTTCAGATACATGGGAAACTGGAGAGTTCTGAACAGGTGACGCGGAAATGACATAACCCTAGACAAGCAGATAAACAGGAATATACAGGAAACCTAGACACAACTTGATACGAACCACAATGTTACATAAAAATGGTGTGTCCAAATGTGTCCCAAAGTTACGTTACCCTGGTACTTTGTTGCGAGTTGGTGCACCTGGCGGCGGACATGTTTTGGGTAGATGTTATTGAACCTGACAGCGACAGTTTTTCTGTCCATAGCGCTTACTAGATTTACCTATAGTACATATGGAAAATATATACAGCCTCACCTACACCCCTGATCGCACAGACATCGCCTGCTCCCCTCCTCCGGCGGCTGCTTGTCCTGTCCTCCCGTCGCCACCATGACGGCCACCGTGATCATCACCACCAGGAACAGCAGCACGATAACCGTGCCGATAGTCGCGGGTTTCCTGCGCCCGCCCTCCTCAGGCGGGTAGTTGATGCGGAAGTTCCAGGTCCTCTCGACGCTAGCCAGGCTGACCGGGGTGGAGGTGATGGAAGAACGCCCCACGGAAGTGTAACTACACGCGTCAACATCCAGGGTGAGGGAATTCTTGTGATCGCGTCCCGGCATTTTGTCGAAGGAACAGAACAATCATAGTCAATACTGACCAAACCTGTCTTTTAGAAAAGTACACATGAACTTTGCTCTTTTGCGTGACCTTCAGACGTGCGTGCGCAAATAAAGCGAGGAATGAATGAGTCATATATTAATAACAAATACTGGCACGGCACAAGGGGCCGAGAGCTTGGTTTGGAGTTAAACAATCCTTTGCAGATTGACAAAACTAATGCTGTTAAAAACACGTTATTCCTGTGTCAAACCCAAAGTGCTCTATGCATCAGAAATTTCGGGGTCATTCGAGACTTCAAGAACGTTTTTAGGACAAATACTTTCAGACATTCCTAAATGAAAACCACAAATCGGGAAGGCACATATACACACCGCCCTTGTCACTTTGTAACTCGAATATCTAAAAAAATGGATCAAACAGCGGCGTGAACTGACCACCCGTCGATGAATTGACATGGCCTAGAAGCAAAGCTTTGGCCTAGAAGAAAAATTTAATTTCAAAAAGAAAAAAAATCACAGCAGTCAAGTGATAGAATGCAAGTGTACGGGTGGAAACTATCATTTTATTCTTGCACTTTGTGTAAAACTTCAAATGAAACTCAAGGAATGACAATACCTTTGAAATTAAGAAACTGAGGGAATGTATGTGATGTGCATGCTGCTTTACATCTGCTTACGCGCAGATAAGGGCTCTCTAAAACAAACCGAATGTTGTATAATTGAATGTAAAAAAGTAAACTTCCAATATTCCGGAAGTAACAACTAAAACAGCTACATAGCCGAGGATTCTTAACGAAAGTGGAACGTTTAACAGAAACAAAATCAGTTTTTGAACAGCTCTGGCAGCAAGGAGTAGATTTGTTCTCAAAGTCAGACCAAAAATACATCTGAAAAAATATATCAAAAGATTCATAACGGACGTTTTGGATGATAAAGCGATGTGTTAATTACCTGATAACATTGTCAGATAAAACTCTGGTTCAAACCTTGCATTTTAGAACTGCAGTATAAGATTTAAACATTAGTCCTCTGGTCCAAATACTTGAGGTGCCTCCTTCAGAGCCACGCGGACCAGTTCTTCCCAGTACCAGCGCTTGATGTAGCTCCCGCGTTCCTTCTCTTCTTGTACAGCCTTGGTGAGGGTCTTCTGGATGTCTTGCAGCTCTACCAGACTGAGTCCTTGTGTGTCCGGTAACTCGTAAGATGTGCGATCGGGCACGGCAGCGGTAATGTTCTTAAGAACTGGGTACTGGAGAACTTTCGGGGCGGCGGTGGTGAGTTTGGCTCGAAGGGATTCGGCATGAGCGAGAAGCGTTTCCGCATAGTCTCTCTCAAAGTTGAGCTCTGCCCACAAGTTGTCGACTGACGACATCACCTCTTCATACTGTGGGTCTTCTGCGTCCTTGTGTTTGGGCGATGGGGTAGTTGTTGTAAGAGACGATCCTCCTCCTTGAGTAGACGTTGTCGTCTGGCTGCATGTATCCGCGACAATGTTGTCGGGTGTTTCCGTCTCTTTTCCATGGACGACTGAAGGAGTGCGGCGCTCTGAGACATCGCCTTCTCCGGCAGCAGGACGTTTGTCTGGGTTTGAGGCTGGGAGGCCGAACGCCGAGCTTGTGGAAGACTCTGTGCTGACGTCTGCGGCGTCGCCGGCAGCGGAGGGCGGTGAGCTGTCCTTGCTGCTGTCGGCCGATGGTGCGCCCGGCTCTGTTTCCTGGGAAACATTGATCTTCCCATTCTCCGGTTCTGCTTTCTCTGGCAGCTCCGTCTTGACTGTCCTCTTGGAGGTCTTGAATGGGTCTGAATAGGATAAACGCACATTCTATAAAGCTGCCTTAACAGACGTCCGTTCTTCGACTCTATATCTATAGTAAAATTATACTGTGTATGTCATTCTTATGACTTTCATCTACTGGATTTAAAGGAAACAGACTTTCTGACAGACTTGCTAAAACGCGTCTCTCTGTTTGATAGATCCCACTGGTTGAGAATTAGCTAAGGGTCAGTACAGACTAAGAGTGTGAGAAATGAAGGAGGGCTCACTATGCCGTTAGATAAACTCTGTGACTTAAACTGCGAGCAAAAAAATGAGATGATTTGTTGCTCATTTTTCTGCCCATGTCTAGATCTACGCAATCGAAACAAAACTGATTTCATCGATTTAGGCACTTGTCTTTCTGGAGTGGGTTGATAAATGGCAAAAGAAACGGCAAGTCAGATGTAAGTGAAAAGAAACATGAGATACCAATAATGTGCAGAAAGAAAACCCGACTCCTCTTACCTTGACCCTTTGGTATCTCACTCTCGATCTCCCTCTCCTGATTGTCGGCAGCACCGGACACGTGAAGGAGCGTGACGTCCGTGTGACGAGAGGAACGGTGCGTGTCGTTTGGCGGGACGTCCATGTCTTCGTCGGCACCAAACTTGTCCGCTGTGTCTGAAGTTGAGACGACTTCGTCCGAAGTTGAGGCTGTGTCTGACTCTGTGTCTGAAGAGTCTTGTTTGACGTCTGCGATGTCGCCGGTGACGGATGGTGGACTGCTGTCCGCAGCGCTGTTGTCTGGGTGTGCGACCGGGTCTTTTTCCAGGGAAACTGCCACCGCCTGCAGCTCCGACAGAGTTTCTGGCTCCCCTTGCGCTGATACCTCAACGGTCTCCTCGGGAGCCTTAGTCACTGATACTGAATAGAAGAATATAATGCTGTATGTAAACTAGTGTCTGTAAACTAGTGTCGTTTTAAACAGGCTTTCTATGTTTGAATGTTCCCACTGGTTGAAATACTTAGGAGCTTTTCTTTCTGGAGTGGGTTGATAAATACTTGCAAAAGGCGGAAAAGGAAACGAGTAAGGCAAGTCAGATGGAAGTGAAAATAAACTTTAGACACCATGAAGATATGCAGAAAGAAAACCAGACTCCTCTTACCTTGACCCTTTGGTATCTCACTCTCCATCTCCCTCTCCTGATTGTCGGCAGCACCGGACACGTGAAGGAGCATGACGTCCGTGTGACGAGAGGAACGGTGCGCGTCGTTTGGCGGGACGTCCATGTCTTCGTTGACACCAAACTTGTCCGCTTTGTCTGGAGTTGAAGCTGAGTCTGAAGAGTCTGCGATGGAAAACAAGCGAACAGAACGAGGCATGTTAGATGTAAGTGAAAGGAAAGACTTTGGATATTTTTAAAAATTTCTAATTACCAATCCTGTCCAAAAAGAAAATACGACACGGTCGACTCCTTCTACATGTACCTCGACCCTTTGGTAGCTCACTCTCGACGCCCATGTCTTCGTTGACACCAAACTTGTCCGCTGTGTCTTGAGTTAAGGCTGTGTCTGAAGATTCTTGTTTGACGTCTGCGATGTCGCCGGTGACGGATGGTGGACTGCTGTCCGCAGCGCTGTTGTCTGGGTGTGCGACCGGCTCTTTTTCCAGGGAAACTGCCACCGCCTTGACCTGGTGATTCTGCGCTGGTCCGTCTCTCGCTGATACCTCAACGGTATTCTCGGAAGGCTTGGTCACTGAGACTGAATAGAAGTTTACAATGCTGTGTGTAAACTAGTGTCACTTCAGCAAGACATTTAAACAGGATAAAATAGACTCAAATGCTTTTAATTTCTTTCCTTCAAAAACGTCCATTGAGAAGTCATTTTCATATATATCCTTCCCCTCTGGTTCGAGAAAAGCCTGATGTTCACCTTATCAAGAAAAGTATCTTATAAGGCCATAAAGGCTTAACATACAAATTCATCCTATATAGAGACAGAAACAGACACTTCTTACCTTGGGCTTGGTTCTGTGTAGGCTGACTTTTCCCCTCCGTGCCTTCGAGAGTAACGGACGCCTGTAAGAACACTTCCTCTTTCCTCCGCCCGCCTTTGTTGGGTCGGTCCATGATGTACCACCACTTCTGCGGTAAACCGTCCACTGACTCTAGTGCGGCTGCAACATCTATGGAGAGCTCACCGACTGTGGTGTCCTTGCAGCGCTTCGCCTTACGGAGTTTCAGAACCAGTTGGTCTGTTGGCGACCCGACAAACTCTGTAGAATACTCCCAGATCAGTGCATCCGACTTTTTCTTAGCGGTCTGCACCTTGTTCTTGCCATGTCGTATTGTGACTAGGTACTTGCCCTGGCTCTGGCGACCAACTTTGCCCTCGTGGACAGTTACGTTGAGTTTTATCCCGCCGCTCTGGCTCTTACTGCCAGGTCTGAGCAATGACAGCACGTGTACCACTGAAAGGAACGCTGACGCCGTCCTGTCGAGAAAACCCATCTTTTCATGGGAAATTCACCTTGACAAAACGCGGAGCTCGAGAGATACGTGCATATCCTCGGTGAACAGTGGCGTTGTGTTTGGTTGCTGTGCTACAGCGTGGGTGCTGTTCTGGAACATCCCCGACAATCGCGATCGCTCCGTGGAACATATATTCTATAGAACATATATTCTTGACCTTAAGTGACCCCCGAAAAACGCCTATATCTTGTTTGTTGCTTGCCGAAATCGTTGGGATCTAGGAGGACATATATTGAAGGTTGATATCAATGTTTTATTACTGCGATAACCATAATTTAATGCTGTAAATCAGTGGTTCATCATTTTGACAAGTTCATATTTATTTCACAGATGGGCCAGGTTTTGTGCATACTACAGCATTTCAATTCACACATACCTGTGTATGTTGAGAAAACGCATTCTGTATCAAGGAAGCCAAACAATGTGCAAACTATCGTTTATTACATAGCTTATTTGATGTTTAATTGCTACTCATTGTACATTATGCAGGGGTGAGACATACATGTACCTGTTTTCTTCATCCCATCTACATGTGCAGTAATCTTATCTAAAAATTAGGAAAATATCTTCCGTAAATAATTTCATCAGGTTGGAAGATACTTAGGGTATAGAATTTTCTTCTTACACAACCAGTAAGGTTCTCACCTGCTTACGTTTCGATGTCTATCAGACACCTTCCTCAGAGCTTCTGACTGGAGTTCTGCAACTCGCCGCTATTTAACGTCAAAGTAGGTGGCGCTTTTGCGGCGAGAATGCAATCCCAAACGTGGCTGAGCTTGGATATTGGAGAAACTGGCAGGACCTTTGGCAAAAGACTGGAAGAACACAGAAAAGAGGCAGACAACAGTGAAACCGTAAGATATACACGCTCCCAGAAACAACAAGCACAAAAAGAAGAGAAGAAATCGGCAGTCACAGACCATGTTGCCAGAAACAATTGTGTGATAGACTGGGAGGGAGCCAGGGTCATAGATAGGGAGGACAACAGAAGAATCCGTTGGATTAAAGAAGCAGTCTGGATAAGGAAGTCTACCCCAGTGATGAACCGGGACGAGGGGGGATACAAGCTCAGCCACGTTTGGGATTGCATTCTCGCCGCAAAAGCGCCACCTACTTTGACGTTAAATAGCGGCGAGTTGCAGAACTCCAGTCAGAAGCTCTGAGGAAGGTGTCTGATAGACATCGAAACGTAAGCAGGTGAGAACCTTACTGGTTGTGTAAGAAGAAAATTCTATACCCTTAGGAAAATATCTTGGCAGCATAACAAAAACATGTACACTGGGACCTTAGAATAGCTGCTAAATTTTCTCTGATTAGGAAAAAGAAGACCTCGTTCATGCACTGTCACATTAATACAGGATACAAATTTGATAATCTCAACACACACAATTTTGTTTCATAGGCATAGCAACAATATCTTTAAATCTTCAAAACATTGTAAGCACCCAACATATCAAATTTAAATGATTATTACAAGATATCTGAGATTCCAAAAACTCTTGGAAATATATATAACACAGCGTTCACAACGACTGCTGACAAATTTACTTAACATTAACAGAAATGTTACCAGAAATCCTACATGACATAAAAGATGGGTCACACTTCTGAATATTGCAGCATTAAGTGGCTTCTTTCATCTCTCCTGGGAGTAGTGATCCAGGCTGAAGGCATATGGAGAGTTCCAGTCTCTCTCAAACACAGCTTTCAGCTGTTCCTGCACGCTGTTCTTCCCCAGCTGCCCTGACGTCTGGTTGACGACCAGTCCGATGCCGCCTGTGTTGATGAAGTAGTCAGCTGACCAGTTGGACGTGCCTGGAGACAGAGTACCACGTGTTTTACTACGTATACCAGAATGTGAACACATGTAGAACAGCAGTAAAGAAAGAAGTGTATTCTACATTCGATTCCTTATATCTAGAATGATTCAATACAATTCACTCATACACACTCTCTATCTGGATTATTGTGTGACCGTTAATGGTCCATGGTTAGAGAATTTCCCCAACCCATGTGCTGTCTTTTAACCATATGAACACATGCACACACAGACACACACACACACACACACACACACACACACACACACACACACAGACAGACAGACACACACACACACAATTATACCTCGATACACTGAGGTAACAATTCCTCTTGCAGTGTCTCACCTATGTATGCTACTTGGTCAGTGACCATGTATTTGTTGTGGTTGACCCTAGTATACTCAAACTGCTTTTCCACATCAGGATAGTCTGGAACCTCAAAAAGTTTCTGCAACACAAAAGACATCAGGATCAGGATATTATACAGAAACAATGGGTCTGCAGAAGATACACTAACCTTTAACCTATAAAGTCATTAACCTTTAACACACTGAAATAGCCAATCTATTAGACTATATTTAGTTACCAGGTTATAAGGAGCAGGGAGTAGGTTAATTGCAGTCAAAATATTTTCTGTTATGACCTCTAAAAGGGCACTGAAAGAACATCCGCAACTCATGTTGATACGAGTGTTATATCATATAAATACACTGCCAAGTGTGACTGGACTTACGACGGATACACTAATACTGAGGTCCTTTGAAGTGAAGTTCAGGTCCTGGAGGGACCAGAGGTAGCGGAAGCTGACCGGCGTGGTGTGGTTCCATTTGGATGCCATCAGTCGGACCTCAACATGGCGGTCAAACGCAGCTCTCCTCAGCTCATCATCGATAACAGGCCAGTAACTGACAACAGACAGGGACAAACATTTCCCAAGGTCACATCAATTTGACTTGTTGGTTCTTGTTTTTTTTGTTTTTTCAGAGAATCAATGAAGTGGACAAGTGTAAAAAAAACAGGCCTTGTGATTGCATCAAATGCTACCATAGGATCCATAATTTCAACATATTAGGCTGGATTATACAATGTATTTCAAACAATCTAATTTTGAACTCTCCATCAAACTACTGCAATGTATGTATGTATGTAATACTATGTAAATCATGTATGTATGTATGCACTATCTATTTATCTATCCATCTATCTCTATCTCTATTGTAATGAAGTATGTAATGAAGATTAACTCACATGTTGTTGTTATACCGGTACAGAGTGGTTGCAGCGTAGTCCATCACTGCGATGTACACAAACTTCTGCGCTGATCGGATCACGCCCACGATGGCGTCAACATCAGTGGTCCTCCCTTTGGGACAGAACTCTGGGGGAGCACTCTGCACAGCAACAACAGGTGGGACAGTGAAGGAGGGTCAGTGTTCTAGCCAGAATTTGTCTTTTCATCATTCGACGGAAGTTTGCCGCTTATGACAGAGAAAAACCGTAATCTTTTATGGATAAAATTTGGCGTGTAAAGGTAAATATTAGATAAAGAATACTACTTAGTATATCATTAAGTTAAGCTTAGTCTACCAACAAAATGTACCACTCAAAATGCAGGAAATAGTGTTTCTTAGGGTCAAGATTTCAAAATTCGCACCAGCATGCACCAGCACATGCACCAGCACCCCTCCTAGGATTGACATAATGTTTGTCAAACAAAATTAAGATGACAGGAAAAATTTCAGACTGGCTAGAACACAGCTCCGTATGCACGGAGGTTCAGTTTGGAGTTGCATTTGTGTGTTCGCACCTGTAACTCATGATCCTTCTGACGGATTTATTTGAACTAAAGTACATGATTAGTGAACTCCAGACCTTCATCAACGCGAGGCTCCGCTATATACTCGGGATCTGGTGGCCCAGGAAGGTCAGTAACCGAGACCTTCTGGAGATAGTAGGCCAAGAAAGAGTGGAGATGACCATCAGAAGGCGTAAATGGAGATGGATAGGACACACGCTTAGAAAACCCCCAGAATCCATCACTAGAACTGCCCTTGACTGGGACCCCCAAGGGAGACGGAAGAGGGGAAGACCGCGGTTGTCCTGGAAGCGAGGTGTCAGGAAGGACCTAACAGCAGCCAACACCTCATGGCAAGAGGTGAAGAAGATCGCAAGGGACCGAGGGAGGTGGAGAGCTTTCACTGAAGCCCTGTGCTCTAGGACGGGCGAAGAGGACTAAGTCAAGTAAGTCACATGATTAGTGATTAATGTCCCAAAGAAACATTGAAATTTGGCTAACTTTTCAGGTATTTCAGGCAAAACAATCTGACATCCGTGCTGTATGTGGTAACTACTACATGTATTAACAGCTGTTGACCACTGTATGAGTTAAGAGTTGTAATCTTCAACCTACTGATAAGAACGTGTTGGTGTTGGTCCCGTTGAATGCCACCTGTACTGGGGTTTGTAGGTTGTAGTTAGTCTGGTACGCAGCCGGCCATGAGGATGGCAGTTCAGCGCCAGGCTTGCCCAGGTCCCAGTAGACAGAGAAGAGCTTGCCGACATCCTGAGCCAGACAGGGACAGTCCTCAATTACTGCTCCCAACTCCTTCACCTGGTAAAACAAACAAACAAACAAATGTACAAACAGGCATGGCAGATAGGAATATTGATGAAATCTGATGCTATTGTCACAGGAAAAAGTCCCATTGCAAGTGTAATTATTGTGCATTGTCCTATGACATTGTATTTCTCATACCACAGCATGTTATCTACAATATGTGCAATGTAAGGAAAAAGTTAATATCATTATCATGATGGTAGTTTTTAAAAATCTAAACTAACTTAAAGTATTCTTCAGAAAACTTTTTAAAAATCATATACCACGAGGACGAGATGTTCTATTTAACAATGTCCCTGCTACCTAAACCCCAAAACCAATACAAAATTGGTACCAAATGGCTACCTTAGCAGCCTGAAGGTTAAAACTTAACTGGTCTACATGTGTCGAGCTCCTCACCTGAGTCAAGGACCTCCAGTCCATGTTTGCACTCCCCACGTAGAAGTGCCTCCCGTCCACGGTGATCATCTTGGTGTGCAGCACCCCTCCCCAGGGGTAGAACCTGCTGAAGTTGAGCGACCTGACCTCGGCAGCCCCCGTCTTGGCGAGGAAGGCCGTGTCGTTCTGAAATATTCCATCATGGATGTCCTGGGCGATCCTGATCTTCACGTTCCCGCCTTGACCAACCCGCAGCAGCTCATCGTAAAATTCTTGGCCCTGCATATTGAAAAAGGCATGTTTTAGAAATTCAACCAAGAATAAAAGATCTCAGTATTTTGAGTTGTTGTGAATTTGTTGTGTAAATTATTGTGAATTTCTGGAAGATTCTGTACTTGGTATTATGTATTTCCCCACTGGCTTCCATAAGGCAACAGCTGATTTTACAGCAGGAAACTGAAGACAGAAAATGAGGTAAGCTTTGTAATTCACTTCCTCCCAGTCTCCAACCCATAGCATGACTTCCAATTTGACCTTCCTGTCAGTCTATGGTTACACCATTCTCCCTGACTTTCTGTGGCTCTACTATATTCAAATAACAAATGGGCAAACAAACAAACCCCTACCATCATGTCACAAATAAAACAATAATTGTTGCTCTTCTGTATCTGTATCAGTATAGCCCTTTGGTGTAAGTAACACATCAGCTCTTGAACTCCAGCTGCCTGTCTCACAACTAAAGGACAGAAGGGAGGTGCATGGCTATGGCCATGGTACCCACCTCATTTGCTGATTCATCATAAGCAGGGAGATCTTCTCCCTGGAGTGTCCAGTAAAAAGAGGCAATGTCTATGGACTGTTGTGCCTTCTGTACCAGCCCCATCCAGGCACTGTAGGTGGATGGGTGGGCGGGTGAGCCTGCTGCATACGTCAGGTTCCATGGAATGCTTTCTACAAGTGTAAGTCTGGAGGAAAGGGAGGTCAAAGGTTTTATCAACTTTGATATCATCTTGTATTAGCTAATACTGTACTGGTTATACTGGTTGCATGGCTGAATTATAGAACAATCTTCATAGCTATCAAAACTTATATTATAATGCCCCAAAAGTTGGGATGCGTCAGACCTCAATACAATTTTTCTGGCCAATATAATATGCGGAAGTGTACTGTACATAGTACAGTTATCAGTAGTTTTTTTGTGAATTTATTGGCACAACAAATTTTACAGATCAGGTCTGTCAACGGACCTAGGACAGAAACTAGGCAGCCTGAGAGCTTGTTGTGACCTTAAAAATAATTTGTGATTTTAATCACAAAAAATCTACCCACTTGTTTCCTGCAACTCAAATTGCATTCAAATACTTACTAAAACAAAGACACAAGCAAACACACACTGAAAACATTACCTCAGAACATGAAGCTAACTAACACTTTTACAGTCTAAGTGACATACTTGCAGGGGTCATTACAGATAGGCTGGTTGTCTGTGTTCCATGAATAAATAGCCACTATGGAGGCAAGGACAACAGCTCCAGCTAACAGGCCCAGCGTCATCAGGCATGTAGCAGGGTTTCTGTGGAAGGGGACCGCCTTCTTCCTCACGTGAACCTGGCAGCCATCACTGTTATTCAGGGGTGTGGTCTCCATAGGTCTGTCGTCTTCCTCAGACTCCATAGGTTTCTTTGTGCCGCTCTTTCCACGGTGAAGTGGCTGCAAATATCTTAGAATTAGTTCACATTCTAATTTGTTTGATGACAGAAAAAGGTCATTATTATAACATATCTGAGTCACTAAAGATTATTGTCCTTTATGCCAAGAGGATGAATATTAATTTCACTTCCCATTAACATATAACATATTAAGCTCATATTGAAGGACAGATTACTTATGAACTTATGAATGTATTCAGTAGTAAAACCAACATAATATTACC